CAACTTCAGGACGTGTGATTGTACCGCTGATTGTGCCTGTGGCAACAGGTGGCACACCGGCACCTGGCGCAGCACCTACTTGTTGTACCGAAGCACCAGCACTGCGCGATACCAGCGATAGTGTGTTTTCTTGGCGTCCTATTACCTCATCTACTTTTCGTGAAAGATCGCGCAATTGCTCGAATATCTGACTTTGTCCTTGGAATATTTGACGCAATTCACGTTGATTTTCCGATTCGAAGAATTCTTCCCACTCATCATCGTCTTTCACCTAAAATGAAAGTATTTAAAAAATTTAAATTTGTTTACGTTTATGAGTTAAATTGTGTAAAAAAAAAGAGAAAAATTCTAAAGTCACACGGAAAAAATAGCCAACACAACAATATCAAATCATTGTTGCCGTACCTCATCAGGATGCTCCTTCTTATACTCCTGCTTTTGTTTCTCCAACTTTTCTTGGTATTCCTTATATTCCTGTGTCAGCTTTTCAGAGTTCTCTGGAACTTTTACCGGGTCTGATGGGACTTGACCGGGCGGATGCAGTGACGTTGTCAAGAAATGGAAGACATCATGATCATCAGCCAAACCACCAGTCGCCGCGGAAAGACCAAAGTAGCCATTTTTCGGTAATTGCACACCGTCCGTGCGAAGACACATTTCATAATCCTCATTATTGTTCGTCATACCATTGTGGAAAAATACAGTTAATACATTGTTATAGTATTCAATGCGTGCGCGTGTTGGGAACGGTTTGTTGCGGAAGTCACGCAAACAGCCAGATAATAGCTGTGTGGTGCCATCGTTCGAATGATCAAACTGTTTTGTACCATCGTTCACCACAGCCATAATATAAGGATTATTATGTTTATTGTCGTTATCGAAGGAATCAAAAAAGAGGCCCAAGCCATTCCACCGGTCCGAAGAACCAAATACAGCACCATTATAATCGCCTTTTTGTGTGGTATACCAGAAAGCCAGACCATCAGCACCAATACGCCCGCGACCGGATACTCGGAAGACTATCTCCACCTCCCACCAATCGAAGTTCGTTGGCGACTTTGTCCAGATGGCACCCTTTTGTGAACGCAATGACGGCGCCACTCGTACACTCTCCGCACTCGCAATTGCATCTGTAAATTATTTTCTTAATAAATTTGTAGATTGAAAATTAAACTAACAGCGTTTATTTAAGGGGTTCCAAACCAATATTTTTGGAAAATACGCCTAGCAGTTGGAAACTTAAGTGTCCTACAAGTTGTAAGGAGCAGACGGACGGCAATATTGTGTGCCACTCTGTCATTAAACATGCTCCATTGCACTCACACTTAAGCGCATAGTTGCAAACACAGCTGAGACAGCAGAACATCTGACGTGTCGCCACACTTGTCAAACGCGTTTGCTCCACTGCTAGCAGTGATTTTTTTGTGCGAATCAAGCTGTCACTTCGTTTTTGTTAGTGTACTTACTGCCTCCGTACTCCCAGAAGGGCACAGTGCCGTCTTTCTGCGCTAAATATGGCGGCTTAAAGGAATATTTGTACTCGAAACGCCGATGCACACCGGCCAGATGATTATTCACGTTAGCTTGGACATGTTGTTGTTCCCCTAGGATTAGCAGAATCACCACAATTGGGAGAAATCTGCAAGAGCGCAGTAATCCGGTAACCAACATCTTTATTTGACACATACACTATTTTCTTTTTGTTTCGCTTGAAGTTGGCTGCTCATGCCAAAGTCAATGAAAGTGTTGAAAAGCGCTGTATAACGATTAAACACTAATTGAAGGCGATTTTGTTTAGTATAATATGCGTTGCTCTGTATGCTCTGAGCGAGTTTCGTTGCTACCGTTGTATAATAAATATTTAAAATTTAGTAATTTTATTGAAAATATCATCTATACGTTTTATATATGTAAATACAATTCTAAAAAAAATTTTTATACCCTATTTGACGGGAGCTATCTCCTGGTGAATCAGGAATGCTTGATGTCAAAAAGAAAGATTTTCTCACTGCGGTTCTGGCCTGTAATGGCTTCACTAACATCTTCTTCATTATGAATGATTTACCAGTCACCAATACTCATATGTATGTATTTTTAGCTTGGTGGAGTTGATTTTCGCCCTTCTGAAACTTATAAGCAAATGGGCTAGAGTGTACCCAGTATATTAGCAACACAACAAATCTTTAAGCAATGCCTCTAACTATACATATACATATGTATATCGTCACCTGAAATACAAAATAACGTATCATCAAAAAATTCGAAATTGAGTCTCTTATTGATTCTGATTCACTACTTCAAATTACTTACATAATATTACATATGTCCAACATTTTCAGGATCTGCGCTCAGATATAAACCAGTTTTAACCAATATTAAAAATTTGTTTAACTCATTTATCATTTTATGTCGTGTTTAATTCATGCCACTGTAAATTTCCGAAAATGTTGTTACGCTATTTTGCATTTTAGGTGACGGTATAGAGTTTATAACGGTTGGTCCATGAACAGAATTATCTCGACCGAGTCGGGTCTTTTTATTTACCAATGGGATCAATTAGAAGCATGGGAAAATATCAAATATATTGCTGTTGCAGTGGTGGGAACGTTTTGCATTTTGATACATTATATCCCGTCCAGGTTCAGACATATGTATGTATATGCATTTCGCCCCTTTTTGGTAGAGTTTAGTTCAGGGATTTTATTATAGGGAAGTAGTCGTCGTTGTAGGGCCGTTGTTAGATTCGAAACTCTTTATACATACTTAAATTCTGTCTGAAGAGAAGTTTCTTAATATATTGAAAATCAATTCATTTATTTATCTTCTGCTTGTACATTTAACATACTGTGCACTTGCCTTCCATGCAGGTGAGAATATACATATGTATGTAAGAATACTGTTTATTAGCTTAATTAGGTAACTCCTTAGGAAGTCTCGTGTGTTTTCAAGTTTTATAGAAAACATTTATTTGTAATTTTTGCCGTGTTTACTAGTTTTAAATGTTATAATATGCATTTACATAAACATATGTATGCATATGTTTGTAAGTATGTATGTATTTATTTAGTTGAATATTATTGCACGAGTAATGCATTTTGCAAATCTACGCTTTGAAAGGTAAACATCACAAATTTTATTCGTTACTTTTCGTTTTTCATTCTTTGAATTTCACAGTTACAGTTAGGAAATCCTTTGCATATTGTTTTTTTTTTAATGTTGAAAGTAATTTTTCATAGATTGTAGTTTGTGAAAAAAGGATTTTAAATGTTATACTTGGAAAAATGTCAATAATAGGTGTGTTCGTAAACAACAAAGTAGCACAAATAACTAATATTTGCTGAAATAATAATAATGAAGTTACAAAATAAAACACCTGAAATCTGTAAATTAGCAAATTATAATTAATTTTTATTAAATATTTTACGCCTAAGTGAGCTGCCATATTGCTTGATTGTATGCCAAAATGTTCTTGTGTGTTTTTCGTTCTCTTTAAATATATTAACGTCGCAATATTTATGCATTTAGGCTAATAATATAATAATTCCAACTTAACTAACATTATTACAAATACTTAATCAGCAATGAACTGAGAAATCAATTAAGTACAAAATTAATATGACAAAAATGTTTTATACTACAATAGAGTAAATATGACGTGAATTAAATACAAAACTTTAGTATAAAACATACACAACGCTGATAGCAGTTTTAAAATTTTGTAAAAAAAAAAATGCAATTTACACTACACTCGCACATACTACAAAAGTTATGTTAATAATTGTTTAGGTGTGTTTTATATATTACTATAATATATTTGTTAAACTTAGGCAGCGTGTACTACGGTATAATATACTATGAGTGTTATTATAACATTGTGTTGTTGTCGTACATATCAACTTATGAAAAAATACAATTAACATTAATGTTTGCATTAAATATATCTATATATAAGTAAGTATGTGTATAACATGTATACACTTAAATAACCACTGCATAAAGGTTATAAGTATTTTTTTTTTTTTTTTTGGTTTGTATATTTCTTCTCTACTCAGCTTGTTACAACATTCTGTATGCATTACTTTGTAGTTGTATAAAAAAGTATATAAATTGCAAGAAATAGTGAGTTTCATGCTTCAGCTTATAGTTGAAAAACTTTCAAATTCAATTGCGCGCCTGCACTATAGCTAATGACAACGCTTAGGACAGACATATACATATGTAAGTGTGTTTGTAAAAGTAATTTCAACTATTGCAATAATTTCGCCAATGCAAATACAAAATTTTGCGCTTAGAAAAAAAACGATATCCAAAAAAATATGTATGTATATATATAATACATAAGTATATAGTATATATCTATTGACATCTACAATTGTATGTGCCCACATATATAGATGCATGTGTGTATAAATAATGCAACACCATATTTTCGTGTTTTGTTTTTCTTGTTGTTGGCTTTAGCATATCTTAGTTATAGCGTGAAGAAAAATAGAAAAATATTAAATTCCTGTGTTTACATTTCAATTGATTTTACTCAACTACTTTCTCATGCGCTTAAGACTACAGTTATTCACTTGCTTTGATGACATTATCAGCTATAAAAAGTAATAATAATAAAATATGATTMATTTATACTATGTACGACAAAGTGTCGTGTCATAATAATCACTTTCGTGCGAGAAATCTACGCAATTCATTTCAATCCAATTCAAACTCTTCTTCTTCGCTTTATGCGAAAAGTGCACTACTATTTTGCATAAAAACGCACAGTACTGCAGGAATATGCGACATTTAAAGAAATATAATGTGCACGCAAAATTTTACGTGCGAACCGAGCTTAAATATGTGTCAACGAACGTAGTTGCAGAGCTTTTCTCATTTCGCACTTCGCATTCAATGTGCGGAGTTGCAAATGGTGTAGGCATTCTTAGTGTGGCTGGTGGGTTAATTCTTTATTTACTATTACATATCTGCTTTCAGCCAATTAAAAGTAGACGCTACTAATGTTGGTGTGTGGCTGTCGTTGATGTCGAAGAGAATACGCTTAGGAGATCACCCTCGTATAATGCAATTAGCAGCATTATGGCAACACCAGTGCACATGCCAAGTATTTGCAATAAGAATTGCTCCACTGTCTTGTGTGCCGACGACAATTCCGGCATCTGCGGCAAAATTATAGCACAAATTATAGCATAGACTATAAAAAAAAACATGTGACATTTTCATGACTTACCATATCGACAAGCGCTATGTAGATGAAGAGCCCGGCGGCTACAGCGAACATCCATTGCGCTACATTTGGTGATTGTCCAAAAATAATACCGATTATCATGCCTAAAAAGCTGAGCACGCTCGTCAATAAATTGTAATACACTGCTGTTTTGATGGACATGCCCGCTTTGATGAGTATTGCGAAATCGCCCAGTTCGTGTGGCAGTTCGTGGCAAAATACCGCTAGCGATGTGGAGAAGCCGCCGGCAATGTTTTCAGCGAAAGCAGCGCCTGTAAGGGGAAGGTGATATATCGAAGGTTACTTCAATGTATAAAATTGGTTTCTTGGTTTTGATTACTTATTTATTTTTTGGAAAAGAAATAATTCGTTTCGTATACAGCAATGTAAACAGAAGAGGTATATTTTTTGCTTTTCTTATTTAACTTACAAAAAACAAAAAAATACTTGAAAACATAGTATATTTTCTAGATATTTTGTTTATTTCATATTATTTGGTATCTAAGCAGTAAAACAAGTTTTTTTTTTTTTTTTGATATGTATATTAAAAAAAAATAGTCCTTTTTTTTACCAGTGGCATTGAAAATCGCTGAAAAATTACTCTTTCTTATAAAAAAAATTATGTTATTATATCGTCATTGATATTTAATGAATCAGCGCAAATATAATAGTTTTACTGATATTTACTTATTGAAATTTAGGGTCCTTTACCGATATTACGTTGAAGCAGCGTGAACAAAAATTTAAGTACAAAATAATAGTGTTTGCACAAAAGGGTTAATTCACTGCTTAAATTCGCGAAAGAAAAAAATGTACGAGATAAAAAAAAACTTAGTTACTTGAATTTTTCACATAAAATTTGAGGTTATGTGAAAAAAGTGTAGAAAGTGTTTTTTATTGCCTACAACTTTTCGATTTAACTTTTTTCCATAGAACTCGTAACTTAGGCGAAAAGCAAGAGAAACCGATTTTAATTCTTGAAAATGTAACCACCCCCTCACTCCCCTTCTTCCCAATCAACCTAATATCGCCCGTTCCTTTAATTTTTTTTAAATTAATCTTCCTTTTCCAATGAGTTTCATCATATTCTAGTTTTTCGCTTTCAAAATTATCGATCCTGGTCTAGATAGAATTTTAGTTATTATTAGATTGAATACTTTAATTATATTTTGCTTAGCCGAAGCAGACGGTTTTTTTTACATTCCGCCTCCCTAAAAAAATATCAACAGTTTATGACAATTTAACCCAATTTTGCCAACAAGATGCCACTGTGTGACGGTTTTAAAATACAACGAATATTTTATGAAATTTTTTTTTAATTTAAATTATTATTTTGTTTTAGTAATGATCTTATGAATTTATAAACAGCTGTTTGTGTTACCACTAACAAACTTTACAGCTTTAGTTTGCGAAAATATGAATAATGAGTATTTTGTAAATAAGTATCTACGATATTGAGATATATACATATTTCAGTACAATTTAATTGCTCTGACATAAGTTTAGAGCAAGAATCTAATAATAATTTAATGAAAGCACCCATGTGTGTGGTGAAAACTGTGCATTCCTGTCAGATTATTAATTTATATGCAAATAAATATATGACTGAAATATGTCAGTGGTGCACAACGCACCCATAAAAATCTAATTAACTTTGAAAAAGGCGTTTGCACTTGCATATTTAAACCTTACGTACTGCATTCCAGGCGCACCGCTTGTAAATATATTGAAACTGTGTGTGATATTTAAATGAAAACGTTTGTTCATACCTATTGCCATGCCGTCGGTGAAGTTATGCAAGCCATCACCCATGATAATCATCCAGACAACAGCACTTAACGATTCCGGTGGCGAGTGTACGTGTCCGTGCTTATGACTATGCCCGTGATGCGATGACTCGTGCTCACGTAATATCACAGTTGGAACGGAATTGCTGACTAACGAATGTTCTTTAGCGTTGCCATTGGTGGCCACCGTCGGATTGTAGACCAAAGCGTGACTGTGCCCATCACCAGCACCACCACCACCACCACCACCCATCGAATTGCCATCTAAATCGGTTGAAATCGTATTGCTGTCGGGCAAGTGTATGTGTTGGTGCTGTGGCTGTGCATGCTGATGATCTTGATGATTGTGATGCCATACAGGTATTAAGGATTGGGCAACCGCATCGTTGTCTTCGGCATCTGCTTTGCCATTACGCTTACGCTCCACATTATTACTAACGCCCATCAGTTCGCCCGACAAATCAGATATATTATTCAGCTTTGAGCCTGGCAAATGCATATCGTTCTTTGTATCCATAGCGATCTCATCGTAGCAATAAGGATATGAACTGTACTTGGATTTGCAAAGCTTATCGCCAGCAACCGAGTTGTTAACCGAAGAGTCGGGATCACGTACGACTTTGGCGCGCGATTGCTGTGTCGTATCGCTTTTGGCTATACGTTTGCGCCACTCCGAGATCATTGTCAGGCCATGCTCGGTCATATAGAAGAAAACAATGCCGCTCATGCAGCCGAGACCTTTAAGTATCATATTTTGCTCGCTCTGTCCAGCTAAAGACTGCAAGAAAAGTTGATATATTTTTGTCATACAAAGTGAGCAATATTATAAGTTAATGCGGGGTACTTACATGTGGCAGTAAATGCAACAAAGCATCACCAGTCATGGTGCCAACAGCCAGTGCCACCAAATATTGTATAATGTACTTGTAATATCGCGAATCCATAAAGGGTATGATTGCTACGCCGACAAGTCCCAAAATGCCACATGCGAACACGGAAATAAATGCGTATACCCAGACTGAAATGATTTGGGCGACAGTTAATATATGTAGTTATAAGTGCAAGTTCTCAGTCAGAAATTGGGTCTTCAATAAAATAGTTGGGTTGTACGATAATTGAGTTAGAAACACAGTGAATCAATGAGTATATCAAAGTCTATAAACACAAAACTAATCAATTACAATCGCATAACATGGTTCTTTAGCTTGCACTTCGCTCACGTTTGTGATAAACAAATTAGCTGAAAATCATATACATTACTATAATAAAAAAAAATTAATTATTAAAGTAAATTTAGTGAGTTTATCTCTAATGGAACAAAGAACTCTTTGTTGAGTCTAATAGGTATACATACCTATGGCGAAGAGGTGAGGTTCGGCCGTTCCCACGACAGTCGGATCCAGATAATCGGAACGGACCCGGATTTTTTATCCGGCCAAGGGCTGTCAACTTGACAGAATTCTGTCGCTACAACAACAGCAACAGGTAGGGGTTTTTCAAAGGGTGTTGGGGCTTCTGTGGAACCGAACTTAATATTTTTTGCCATCACTTAATTTCTATAGTTTTACAAACTACCGCGTACTACCGTATGTAAGCCGTTCCCACGATAGTCAAGTTTACGTAAATGGAACGGACCCGGATTTTTTTAGGTCAAGGACTGTCAACTCGGCCGAATTTTGTCGTTACAACAACCGGGTGTTAGAATATTTAAAGCACTTGTCTAACCTCATTTTTCTTTAAACCAAGCACGCTCTAAAACGAACTTTTACTCACCATAAACCATATCCTCCTTTGCGGCATATTCACCCGCTTCGTTTGCCTCAACATGCTCCAGTATCGAGGGATCTATACAACCGGCACGATCACCAGCCAGTGGTGAAGCCATTTGGTACAACAATACCGGACACAAATGCAGCATATCCTCTTTGCTAATCGTATAATTTGCCGTGTGTTCATGTAACACTTTAAACTTTGGTTGATGCTGGTGCGCTTGTGCACAATCCGTTGCATCGGATTCATTGCAATGTACGGCGCGTTCGATATGCGGGTGTGTGTGTTCAATTAGTTTATGTGGCTGGACATGGTAGACTAGTGCGGCATCGCTAACACACTTCAAAATGGTTGAGAGGAAGGTGTGGGTGAGTATAGGTGGCAAAGGAAAGGTTAAATGGTTAAATACTGGAAAAATGCTTACAGTGCCATTACTGGACGCTTCCGCCGCAGGATGCTGCAAACGCTCTTGCTGCTGCTTTTGTTGTTGTTTTGCACCACTTTCGCCTTCTATCAGCTGATTCAAGCCGAGCTTTTTCAGTATGTGCTGAAACTCGTCCACCGTCAATGTGCCATCAGCCTTATGTCCATACTCGACAAATATACGCTGCAGGAATTCCGCTGTGATCTCTGGCTGATGCAAGGCGCTGGTGGTCGTCGTCGACTCCTCACCGTGCGCATGTCCAGCATGGCGTTTTCTTCGATGTGGTTTATTACTATATATGTGGCTCGTTGTTGTTCTTGTTTCAATGTCAAGTTCATCAGCATCATCAGCAACATCGTTAACTGTACGTTTGTGTGTGTTGGCAGTCAACGGGTCCACGCCGAAGCGTAAAGCGTCACGTCGCTCGTGCACGCGCGCATTTAACTGTTGATATTCGAAATGTGGCGGCGGATATGCGGCAGCATTCGCCACATAATCTTTTATGACATGCTCTTGGCAGGGTATACGATCGGCGCACAGTAGGCACACAACGCAAACGGCCATTATGTGGCGTGCCATCGTGTTGCTTCGCTTCGCCGCTGCTAATGTGTTTGATAATTTATTATTGCAAAATTAAATATTTCAGGGAATACGTTTCACAAGCGCTGTGTGAAACACGTCTGCGCGCAGCACAGATGTAACTACACTTTTTGTATTTTTGCACCATAAAACACACACTCACGCCGGCACACACACTCACGGCCTTCACTTTTCATATATTGGTGTGTGTTTGTTTGTATGTGGGAGATTATATATGTATGTAGTAGGTATGCTTTTATAATTCGAATTTAACTTAAATTTAAATTGTTTAAAGCCGAGTTTGCCGCATTTCGACGCGCATGGCCACTTGTTGTTATCTGCAATCGGAAAGAAAAAGTCATGGTATTGATATAAACAAATTTGGTAGTGCAAAAGTGTATTTATTTAAGTAGCTCAGTCATAAAAATACAAAAAGAAAAATTAAAAATTTAATAAAAATATAAAAAAAAAAACACTAAAGTTCTTTTGTGTTGTAGCGCTTATGCGCCTGTCAGCTTCTGAAATCTTTCGCCGCGTATAATCGCATTCCACTTGGGAAGCGTGCTCTCAACACTACCATAAATGAACCGACAACTTTGGTCACTAACTCAGCACTGATTTCCTTATTAAAAACAATTAATACGAAACCTACACAGCAAGCCGGCGATAGTTTTCGGTGCGTGTGTCTGTATGTGCAATTACACTTGAATATCTGTAGCGGCATTTATAGTTATGTATAAGTACATATATGTACTTATAAGTACATTATGTATACCTTAGAACATATGTATGTGCGCTAATTGCTTTTGAGTAATTGCCTTAAACAGACTCTTTTGCCAAGAAGCTTTAATGATAAAAAAAATCAATTTATTTGCACTTGTTGGAGTGCAGCTGAACTGCTGCGCAATGCGAAATATATTTTTGATGACTTCGGTTGAGCAGCGCAGTTTTTATAATTCTTTTCTTGTTAGGCCAAGTGGTTTTTAGCCAACACGGTTCAGCCGTTCTTGAGTTATAAATTGTATTATAAACCCTACTTTCTTTTATACACACTTATGAACAAAATAATAGGTCTACGAGGTGTGTTAAAAAAGTATCGCGAATTTTGAATTTTCGCGGGTTAGGTATATTCGAATTTCGAATTTTTTGTGGCGTTATGTTGTTATGCCGACAAGCTCGGCCATTTTGAATGCTCATTTAATTGTTGGCAGCTGCTTTGCTTGCACGTGTTTTGGATCGTCTTCGATTTTAACTTATTCAAAAAAAAAAAAAAAATGGATCAAAGAACCAGTATCAMATTTTGTGTGAAAAACGRAATTAAGTGCGCGGATGCATTCCGAATGTTGACTGTGGCATACGGAGAAGCTACCTTGGACCGAAGCAACGTTTATCGGTGGTATAAAATGTTCTCAGAAGGCCGAGAAGATG